CTTCAAGGTGCTAGTTATCACCTTTAAAGCCCCACATGGCTTAGGACCTGGATATCTGAGAGACCGCCTCCTGCCACATACCTCCCAACAGCCATAAGATCTCACAGGTTGGGTCTTCTCTGGGTGCCGTCAACCGGACAATGCCAGCTGGTGGCCCCTCGGGGGAGGGCCTTCTCTGTAGCTGCTCTGGCCCTGTAGAACGATCTACCCGTAGAGATCCTGACCCTTCCCACTCTCGCGGCCTTCCAAAAAGCCACTAAAACCTGGCTATTCCAGCAGGCCTGGGGCTGTTGACTTCATGAACAAGGTCCAGCCCCACCTAGACGGAATGTATGGTGTGTTGTTTTTAAATTTGTTTTTCTTTTTCTATTTTTAACTTTTATCTTTTATCTTGTTTTTGTAAGCCGCCCGGAGTCCTATGGGATTGGGCGGCATATAAATTTATTAAACTAACTAATTATTACTTTGGAAATTCTATCAATAGCAAAAATAAAACAAAACAAAAATATTATAGATCAAGTCAATCCAAAGGAGGCACACAGCCGTGTGGTGCAGTGGTTAGAATGCAGCATTGCAAGCTAATTCTGCCATCTGCTAGCAGTTCAATTCTCATTAGCTCAAGGTTGAGTCAGCCTTCCATCCTTCAGAGGTGGGTAAAATGAGGACCCAGATTGTTGGGGACAATTTGCTGTCTCTGTAAACCACTTGAGGTCTGTAAAGCACTGCGAAGTGGATATAACTCTAAGTGCTATTGCTATTATATTCTGAACATATTATGCAAATGTAATTTTGGGAAAGGTAGAAGTAAAAAGAATCAGAAAATAAACAGCAACAAGGTGGATGGATTCAATTAAAAGTCCTGGTCAGTGCACAGTTGGAGGATACCTGAAGAGACAGATAATCCTATTGTCCCCAACTATCAACAAGGACTTATTGTAACTGCATAATGAATTAAGCAGTCAATACAAGGAAACACAATTATACATATATATTTCTGGTGAAAATATAAATCCAAAATACACTTTGTTTACATTCATGTAGCATCTCAAGCAAAAGAATTTCATATTCAGCTATTAATTATGAACATTAATTCAAAATTCAGTCAAACACTTAGGTGACTATAACAGGGACTCATTAGTTTGTGCACTGTCTTGATTTGAAGAGAAAACCGTAATATCGAGATTTGATAGACAAATTTGACTTGGAAACATTTTTTCAATCAAATATAACATTAGGGACCACTCAAAAAGTGCTCTGTGTTCCAAATTACATACTGTATTTTTCTCAAATTCAGATCACTGCATAGCTTAACTGCTCACTTGGATAAAGCATTTTCGTATATAAAAATAAATAAATATTATATTGTATTTTGACTACCGTAATACAAAGAAATATTGAGTTGTATGCTAATCATTTATATTTACCTGAATAATAGCTGCATCAATGCAGATCTGGAGAGCTGTAAATCCATACCGCCAGTAGGTTTCAGCTTCACATATCTTGGAAGGGTTTGGACAACTGGCTGTAAAAAAAAATTTTTTAAATTTTTTTTTGCTATCTAACTATTCCACATCAAAAATAGGCTAATGTTTCTGCCATATAGATGGAAAAAGTTACTTTATCTTCAACTAAGTTTTTATCATATTGGCATGATATATGATGAATAAACTGATCTATAGTTTCATACTAGGATATAAGATTTCATATAAAATATATGAGAAAAGAAACTGATATTTAACATAGCCTTCTTCCAAATAGGCACTCACAAAAAAACCATAATGAAATTAAGACAAAAATATTAGCAGCATATATTCTTCTTTTTTAAAGTTTACAGTCATTTATAGTTGAAGCTGTACTACAGTATCTTTATTAGTGAAAAATAAAAGATATACATGTAAAGAAAGCCTGAGTTCATCCTAAAACATTTAAAACATGTATATCTTCTAAACGCATATGGAAGGATTAAAAATATAATATTACAGTATTAGACAAGTTTTTTTATTTTATATAGTAAAGCATCATATTCCTCAAATCTTCATTTCCAATTGATGGCATAAGCTTACATTTATATTTTTACGCTGTTTATATAATTAAAACTAAAATCATTAAGGGTTTGTGAATCTAATTCCAACATTCAATCAGTTTAGGATCATCATTTCAATTAAGCAATTCTAAAGGCTTCAGAAAACCAAGTTAGTTTTATCTGATTTTCTAAACTGATTCAGACACATCAAATCAAGCCATTTGGTGGATCAAACTGACTTCAAATTAAATGTCCAGCAGATATAATCTCCATTTGCAGTATATTTGAATGACTACATGCCTTTATGGTAACAAAATAGTTGGAATGTTTTTAAAATACATATGGAATCTATGCATCCTCATAAGTATCTAAAAGTACAGTAATTCTGTAAATTGAATAATAAATTATAAACATAATTTTACAAAAGATCACTTCTATGTCTGAGAAAAATCAAATATTTATATATACATTTAAATACCTCTTGATTCCACATGAATTGCAGAAACAGGAACTTTTGTAGGAGGAAATCTAAGTTGATAGGACATAGAATCCTGAAAAATTACACCCACAAAGTTCCGGGGACTACGAAATGTAGCCTCTTGCATTTCTTGCTCACTTAGAAATTCTTCAGTAGTGATTCCTATAAAAGAAAATATTTCTTCTAATTATTTTCATCTCCGATTATTTGTACCAATACAAGTGCAAACCTATCTGTAACTGTCTCATTTATTAACCGTATAATATTTTTTTACATATAACATTCAGCCTAAAGTATATCTGAAGGTATTGATGTCAAATTAATTTTTTAAGTCTCTCATTAAAAATGTGGGATTTTTTAAATGCATAGAGTATGTATACTTGCAAAATACAGAACTTATTTTGAGAGGATCAGTTTAGGTCTATAGAATAGAATTCTGTGTGCAGGTAGTCCTTGACTTACAATAGTTCATTTAGTGACTGTTTGAAGTTACAACACCACTGAAAAAGTGACCTATGACCGTTTTTCACACTTATGACCATTGCAGCATCCCCATGGTGTAATGATCAAAATTCAAACACTTGGCAACTGACTCTTATTTATGACAGTTGCAGTCCTGAGGTCATGTGATCACCATTTGCAACCTTTTGATAAGCAAAGTCAATGGAGAAGCCACTTTCACTTTAACAACTGTTACGAAACTTAACAACTGCAGTGAATCACTGAACTATGGCAAGAAAAGTTGTAAAATGGGGCACAATTCACTTAACAACTAACTTAGCAACATGAATTTTGGGTTCAACTGCGGTCATATGTTGAGGACTACCTATCATCAAAAGGCATGGGTTTTCAACACAGACTGCATTATAACCAGATTCTTTCATCATGAGGAACAAAGATATAAGAACCATTGTCCTGGCCAATGCCCAGTCAGATGAGGTTTAGCTCCATTGGATACATATCCAGTGGTTCTGGTCCTTGATGTTAGGAGGCATTAATCGATTTGTTTTGTTCACATGGAACTTGCTGGACCCTAGGTGAAATTTGGATCTGCAGCCTCAGAGCCTCTTTTCTATTATCAAATACATTAGAATACGGCTTTTATTATTTATTTGATGTATTTATCACATTTGTATCCCAGTCCAATCACAAGAACTTCAATGGCTCACAGAGTATAGGATGATTGATTCATTTGGGACACCAGTAAGAGGCATATTGCGAGAATAAGCTTTAGAAGGAAAACAAAAATAATGGGTGTTAATATAAAAGAATATTTATAAATATTTAATATGAAATAACATGCATGCAATTATATGAAAATAACATGTTTAATCTATTTTTCTAACTGCATCTTCCTAGCAAATACAAGAAAAGAATATAAACATTTGGGAGAACAGAAGTGTGTGTTTATAATACCTTCTGTAAAATATTCTGCAGACATTTTGTGCATGATTTTTCTCGTCACATTGTTCACTGGTGTGTAGCCAACAACAAATTCAGAAATACTAGAGTGATCCACAGAATAAAGATCAGAATCAGGCACCTCATCATATTTCTTATTTGGGTACATCATGCTCAATAATATTAGCCAGAATAAAAAGAAAAGTGGAAGCAGTATTTCCTGCACAAATAAAACCAACATGTTAAAATGGGTAAGACTCAGAAACAACCACTTACAGCTGTTTATAATACTCACTGAAACAGAGAGTCTTCTTAAAAATCTGTTATTTCAGTATTTAAACATTACATATCTGGATATTGGTATAGCATTAGCTAATTCTGCCTACTATTCCCCATGTGATGAGAAAGCAGCTTTCTCTGAATAACATAAATCTAGACTTTTTCAAAATCTAGAGCTGAAGATGGGACATTTCCACTCTCTAGCAGGATTTGATTTGATTTAACTGGCACTTACTGGGCACTAGGGACTCAAAGATAACATCTAAATTCTGGCAACAACGAAGTTTGATTGGCCAGTAGAGCAGGCAGAGTTTGCTAAATTAGTATACTTATGAAATTAAAATAGAACATGAGGTCATCTAATGTTAAAAAGATGTACAAAATGCAGTTTCATGCCCTGCTTATAGTCTTAGCATTCATATTTTCCCTGGTGAGTATGAATGTTTGATAGAACAGGTCATTAATAATTAAACAAGTATAATCACATGTGAAAACTTCACACATATTGCTATTTCAGTGTGGTTATAAGGCTAAGACTAACGTTTCACATGCATTATTCAGTCACAATTGCATACTTGACCCCAGGAAATGAACAACAGTCCCAGTGTCTAAGTGCAATATTGCTGAAAGAGGAGCTTAATTTTAATTTTTAAACATCTCTAACAAAAAACTGGAGTTACAATCCATACCTTGTGCCTAACAAAAATGGATATGCTAAATCTAATAAAGCAAAATGATATTCTTTACAATCCAGTATATGTATCAGTATCTTAATCTGTTTTTATTTTTTATTCTAACAGAGATGAAAAGAGATTAAAGTCCTTGGTCCACATGATTAATCCAGTAGAATTCTATAACGTACAGTATATATTGAGATTTTTATTCTCATATTGCTGGTGGTATATAAAAATGTTTCTGAATTATATTTGAATGCTACCCTCTTTTTTGTGAAGATTATGTAAGTAATATTGAAGCCTGTAGAAATTCTGTAGAAAGGTATGAGCAAATCCATGATTTCTTTAAAACCAGCTTGTATTTCTGGCATTCAGAAACATAATATATTACCTACAATAATTCATTTTTCACAATTTGGCTTGATAAAAGACTAAGTCTTTTACTAAAGAATAAGCTTCAGATAATACTAGACTACTGATTAATATTTTAAAAGTAAAATCAGAAAAACTAAATTGTGTAGTAGTTGCTTCACTGGATGTAGAAAAAGCCTTTGATGTGGTACAGATTAAACTTTTAATGTTTTTCTGAGATATAGATTCCCCCCATGATAATTTCTTGGATTAAAATATAGTATCTTAATCTATCTATTGTTATTGCAAATGGAATTATTTGTTCTCCAATTAAAATATCTCAGGAAGCATGTCCTTAATAAGATCATTTAATGGCCTAGAAGCCTAAGAATAATTCTGATGTAAAAATTTTAAACAGAGCTCAAATCAATGAACAAAATGATTTATTTATTTAGCTACCGTAATTTATATCGCTGCCCATCTCACAAACAAGTGACTCTGGACAGCATAATTAAAACAAAAATAAATATATAAAATTATTATCATTAACAATTATTTTAAAATATTCAAAAGATTCATCTTTTAATTTCTTCAAACCTTAGAAAACTGCAGATCAACTGACCTGAACACTACTCTTCTTGGTTCTCCATTTAACTAGGCAATTCTTATAAAAAAGAGCTCTTGTTTGTCGCCACACTCCTTTTTGTCTTGAAGCATCTGTAGACATTTTTGCATCTGAAAAGCAAAACAATTACATGCATCTTTTAAATGTATGCCCCTTTTAAGTCAATTAATTTGTTTTAACGATAGTATCATTCACTATATTTAATTATATTACTAATCAATATTTTAAATGGATACATTTCTGTAATATAGGTTTCACCATCTAAAAACAAAACCTACATAAACTATTAATTATCTTTAAGTGATATCAAGTAGATACAGGATGATAATCAAAATGCTTCTCAGATAAATTTTAGGAAGCCAGACTTGCAGATTTATTGCTGCTCTAAATACAGGACAAGCAATCCTTGACTTATGACCATTCATTTCAAAGTTACAACAGTGCTGAAAAAAGTCACTGATCTTTGCACTTACACCTATTGCAGTGCACCGTCACATGATCAAAATTCAGGTACTTGGCAACTGGCATTTATTTACAACAGTTGTAGCATCCTTGGGGTCCCATGATTTCCATTTGTGACCTACTGGTAGGCTTCTGAATAGCAAAGTGAATGGGAAAAGCCAGATTTGCTTAATGACTTACAGCTGTGGCAAAAAAGGATGTAGAATCAGGCATGACTTACTTAACGACTAGATCACTTAGTGATGGAATTTCCAATCCCACTTGTGATTGTTAAGTCAAAGACTACTTGTATCATCTTAATTGCAAATAAAGTATTAGTTTAACATGTTCTGATAAAGCCTGGGATATATACACTTGCTGTTTGTTTTCAGTTTTTATTATTAAAATTGAATTTGTCCAAATCCTAAATGATGATTAATATGACCAATTAACTCTTAAAAAAACAAATTATATGACTCACTGTAGTACTAAACAATTTCCCAAAGTTTCTCATGGCAATTTTTTTCTGTTTTGCTTTTAAACTATTATTCAAAAGTACCTGAATTTTATTGACCACAATTTAATATTTGTTATTTGCAATAGCAATAATGCTAGATATAATAAAATCTGATATTTTCCCTTTTTTTGCCATTATGCAATTGAGCATGGGTGTGTGAACCAGCCAGTTTCAACTGATAACATTGCAACATTAAGCATAAAAGTGAATATTCAAATACAAAATGTGGAAATCAGAATACTCCTATGTATAATAAAAAATAAGGTTTACAAATTAAATACATTTTATTGCATCAGTTTTCTGCAACTGATGCTGCTCAAATTATGTTCATGTTTCCAAGTCTCTGATAGGAATGCCTTTTTTGAAACTGGTGGAAGCGTGAGAATTTATAGCCTAAATGAACATTCAGTTTGAAGCAAAAATACTCTTTAAAAAACGTATAGTTGTTACAGATTCAAACGCTGCTACAATATTTTTCAGACTGCATTTTAGAAATAGATTTGACAAAGACAGAACTTTGATCACCTTATGGAATAACCTCCAGGAAAGGGGTGGTGGTGTATCTGGGTGTCTTCTGACTTACCATGGTGTCATTTTGAGTGCATGAATCAACTGGTTGTAATAGTTCAGTTCTTATCTCTTTAATTACTATCAGAAGATGATACTGGCCATCATCTATCAAATTCTGGTCACTCATGTTATGTAATATGAACATGCTGAGAATGATCCTTTGCAGTGCTGCAGCTCTTTGTCAGCTCTATATTCATGATATTCAGCTTCATTATGTACAACTGTAATTAGTATGTTTATCTAAATCTAAATATTCACAGCCTAGATGTAGATTCATAGATGTAGATCTACATCTATTCTCAAATGTTAAAATTATTGAAGAGCACATAATCTTACAAAAGCACATAATCTAATCTAGCAGGCCTTCTTTCTCTGTTAGAATCTACTACCACTGAAAATACTAAGTGGCAATGACTATTTTCTTAGCAATGTAGAAAACAATAAATGCTAACATTTTGAAGGGTATCTCTTTTGCAGGTAGAAATGATCACAGCTTCTTAAAACTGCACTATAGTACTATACTGTACTGAAATAAAAGCACTCAATCATTTATCTTTATTAAATAAAGAGGGACAGCAATGGCACTAAGCATGAGATAACATATTGTATGAAGCCTGTTAGAAATAAACTTAATGTTATGACACATGTAAATTAACACTGAACCTTGAGCTGATAGTGTTGTATTTGTTGTGCCTGATTATCTACTAAACCCAATGTATTCAAAAATAGTATTTTTTACTTTATTACTGTATGTTTTAAACATTAAAAAAACAAACTAAAAATATCTATTTCAGGACATTTCAAATACCAATTAATCACAAAATCTGAAATTGCAAGAGGCTAACAGATACAGAATTTAATTTGAAGGTAAAGGGAGAAAGACAATTTTAAAAGATCATGGAAACATATAGTTAATTTTTAAAACTCAGGGAAATTTGACCAAATTACTTGAAAACCCTTTCTTTTCCCACGGTGAATTTCATATCTACTCCTTCACAGAATTATTGATACCATTAGTGAAGATTTTCTCTCCTCAGCATTTAGTGAGCCAGTGCTAAGAAAGTAGCAACTGAAGTTTATCTGAGAAGCTAGGAATGATGACTCATAGAGGGCCCCCTGCACTAAGCTTCTGCAGAATGACATTGTTTTTGCTCTTCCAGTATCATGCCAAAGCAATGCTTGTTGAAAAGATTACCAAAGAGACAATATGTATTGTTTCCCAAAAAATAATCTAACCCATCTAAAATAGCTCCCCTCCAAAAAAGAAAAACAATTCCCAAACTAATTGTTCCAAGTTTAGCATGCCTCTATTTTTCTACAGATCTTAATCAAAAACAAGCTCCAAGTTCTCCCACAGACTTTAAGCAAATAAAATAGTCATTCTAAAGTCTGCAAAAAAGGCTAGTAAGACCAATCTTATGAAAAATTGTGCAATAACCTAGGAGTAGATCTAAAATTAGTCTACCAACAGGATTGAATTAGTGAATTAAGAAATGATTATACAGTACAGCATTACAGTGGGTCTCTTATATCCTAGTCCAAAGAATAAACTGTTGTAAGTGATCTGCTCCTAACAAGGATTACTTAGATTTCAATTGGTTTAAATTCTTTTTAAGTATGCATAAGCATGCAGCAAGTCTTCATATCAGGTTCAAGCTGACAAAAGGGTCATACTTCTATAGTTATCCAGTCAAAGTAAAATATCTAAGAAATGCTACATGTAAATAGGCATAGATTAAAACAAAATAGTTCTGATGTTCAATTTAGTATTTGTTTTTAGGAAAGCTGAATTTAGTAATTGTTTTTAGAAATGCATTTTGATAATTACACTATGAGAGATCTCCTTAGATTATAAAATATATTTACTTCAATAAATAAACTCTCTCTACTGGCAAGTCCTCTTGTTCTTTCTGCTGAGTAGTCTATCCAGCATGGAATTTACACAAAGCTCTGCCCTAATTACACTACTGAGATTGTTTATACAACATGGCATATTACAAGCACTTTTTCCTCATAGCACCTCCCAATTCCAGATAAAATGCTTATACAGAAAGCATTTATACACTTACACGTCAAATCCTGAAATATTTATTGGCATAATATGGTAGTGTACTATGGTAGAAAATTTACATTTCAGAACCTAATCTCCCTCCTGCCCTCCCTAATTTCACAAGAAGAGAGAAAGGTAAACAGGCAATGACAATTTATAGGAATAATTTAGTAGTTTTCAATTCAAACTCTGAGTAGAAGTGCTTATCAGATCAAGGGATCTATTACACATGTTTTTACTGCATTGAACAGAGCTTAGTCCTGGTTACATAAAATAATTATTTAGATGTGTTATGATTACCCACTCCAAAAGTTTCTGGGTGGCTTTACATAACCAGATTATACAATTAAAGTAGATAAAATAAAAATCATGACAAGGAACCATAACAATCAAGCAGCAGCACAGGGGCTCCATAAACATATTAAACCAGACTTGGTGACAGAGCCACCAGAGTCTTAAGGGTCCTGCAAGAACACTTGGAGAGTGGCCACCATGTGTATCTCGGGAGAAGGGGATGCTGAGGAGGTATATGGGATTGCAGCCATCACACTTAAAAGGAGTGTGTTACAGGTTTCTAAATTTGTCAAGAATATAGGCACGTTATTAAAATCTATCTCGTAGTATGAAGTCTAATGAGAGACAATTTAGCTTAACATCCTTCTTAACATCCATTCAAAAATACATGCCTGTTGTCAAGTGCCCGAATTTTGATTACATGACCACCAGGTTGCTGCAACAGTTTTAAGTGTGAAAACTGGTCATAAGTCACTTTTTCAGTGCCATTGTAATATTGGTCACTAAATGAATGGTTGTAAATTGAGGACTACTTGTATTATTAGTATACACAATACACCTGCCAGTTCTTTAGTTGGCGTTCTCCTTCATTCACATCAAGTTCTCTTATTGTTTTATGCTTTTTATCTTTTTTCTTGGTATAAACAGTTACTTTAAAAATAAATCTGTAACTTCCTTTTAAGAACTTTAAATGTCTTACAGTGAATGTTCACAAACATTTTATTATATTAAGTTACAATGTTTTCTGCTCTTCCAGAAAATACTACCAGTGTTTTGGGTACAAGAAAGTGCAGCATAATTCAAAATCTGATGCTGCATTGGTGAAAAGAGATGGAGATAGCTAATTTTTTTCCTAGTCTCTTTCTCCCAGTTTCTTAATTATATAACAAACTCTTCAACTCCCATAGTTTCCAAATATTTGCATCTTTCAGTTAACTACTCTGAAAATTAACCTTAAATAGTAACTGATTCTCAAATTAACAAGATGGCCTTTCCCTGTCTACAATTAAAGACCCCTTTTCTTGTCCATAATGTATGCAATTATATATTTGATAATTGCTGCAATTGTATCATAATTGCTGGTGATTTGTTCAGAATAGCCTTAGGATCTATTTGAAGCAAACCATAAACGCATTCCCTACAAACCAAAGAAGTCCCATTTGTCATCTCATAATCAACAATGCTACTCTAACAGATACGGTATTGGTTATTCAGGTTTCTCATTGTTTGGATCTTTTCTCTTTGACTTCCCCAACTGTACCCTATACATTACACAGTCGCTAGCAATGCAATATCATTTTTACATGTAACCACACAGCCTTAATGATGTTCTGAGGCAAGTAAATAGAGAGTCAAGGAAAAGAGAATGGAATGAGAAAAGCACCCCGTCTCACCCATGAAGCCCCTCACTTAGATAGGCACCGTCTCAGGCAGTCGAAAATCTACACCTCGACCCAAAAAAGACAGCTTGTCACATAATCGCCACAGCAGGCGCTGCGTCGTGGGTCAACAGGCGAGGGACATCTGACACCCACAGCTCTCGCTGATTAGCTCCTCAATAATTGACCACGCCGGGCTAAAACACCTGCGGCCAAGCGGAGCGAAAGCCGGCTGTCTTTTTTTGCATTCTCTCCTAGAGGCAAAGCGGGCTTAGATGCCCCCTCAGGAGCCGCCCAGCTACCGTCAGCCGCCCCCGTGCAGTTTCCCCACAACTGAGGAGCCGGCCACTCAATTCAAAGCTGAACCCGGAGAGCCGAGCCCAAAAAGGCGTCGGGGAAGCCACTGGTTCCTCGCCTACCCACCGCCTCCTTTCCCCCCTCGCCGTGCCGCATCTCTCCCGCCTTTATACCGCGTTGACTCCCACCTCTGCTTCCCCTCCTTCCTTCCCTCCCACGCCGCCTCCTTTGCTTTCTCCTCACGCCTCGCCTTCTCCGACCTTCCCTCTGCTCTCCTGGTGGGCGGGGGGGGGCACCTCGCGCAGCCTCGCCGCAGCGCGCGCCTGTCCCGGGTAAAAAGCAGCCGCAGTCCCCAGCCTTCCCCCCGCCACCACCACAAACCCATCCTCGCCTCCACCCAGGCAGCCAACTTCACCTCAAGGCTGTCTGGCCGCAGTGGGTAGGTAGGGGGATGTGTCTACGCTGGTCCTCGTCAATCCGGGCCTTTCGGCGCCCGCGAAACCAAAAAAGAAAGGCCGAACCGCCTTAAACGTAGTTCTGGGAAGGGCGCTTTCGTTACTCTCCGCGCAGCTGTCGGCGGCAGGGATTGCAGCAGCCGAGGACTCCCCTTTCCTCTGGGGAGCCGTCGCTCCGGCTTTGTTTGGTCTTCGGAGGAGAGGAGGGAGCAAGTTTCCGCCAGCAGAGCCAGTCTCTGTCTGTCTCCTCCGCCTCCCAACCCTGGAATAGCTAAAGGCCGGCCAAAGAGAGAAGAAAAGGAGCAACGTCAAAAGGCTGTCAACATATTTGGGGAATGGCGCCTGGACCTAGTGCTAACTATGCCGTTGTTCCAGCCTGGGTCACAAAACAGAGCTTTCTTCGTAAGGCGGTTTCTTCACACCCTACAGTCACGTTCGCCACAGCTCCTTCTTCCTAACTCTTGCCCAAGGGTCCCGGAATGTTGTTCTGCACCGCGAAAGAAAATTCAAAATTAATCAAGAGGGTGTCCCCGGTAAACGTTTTTCCTTCGCGAGCGATGAGCATCGGAAGTTCGTGTGTACAGTACGCCGAAGAGGATTCAGCAGAAAACGGGATTTAACACTTGATGCGGATGCCCTAGATATGTCTAGCGAAAATAAAAGTCCCGCCTGTCGACTTCACTGAAACCCGTTGTTGCTCGAGTGAACGAGAAGATAAATTGCAGCCTTAAAAGAGGGTATATATCATGGGCCCTTCTGATTATGTGCACATAGAGGTAAATGGATTGGTTATTCCTAAATAAGGACGGAGGCTTGGTAAACGGATTACAGCATTTGGATTACTGCATGTTGTTGAGCTCCTGACAGCCCTGGATTCACTGGGGAGCATGTTGACTTCTGCCACATCTGACAAGTCACAGGTTTTCCACCTGTGCTTCATAACATCCAATAAAGTATAATATAAGTGACAAAAATACCTTGAAGCAAAAGTTTCTACCGTGATGGCTTCCTTGTCTCTTTATCTGGAAACGATAGTACAGATGGTCCTTGGTTTACAACCATTCATTTAATGACTGTTCAAAGTTACAATGGCATTGAAAAAAGTGACATTATTTTTCACAGTTACAACCTTTGCAGCATCATGTGATCAAAATTCAGATGCTTGGCAACTGGTTCATACTTATGACCATTGTAGGCTCCCAGGGTCATGTGATCCCTTTTTGCAACTTTCTACAAGGAAAGTCAATGGGGAATTCACTTAACAACCATGTTACTATTTATCAACTGCAGTGATTCACAATTGTGTTAACAATTGTGTTGTACATGTCGTAAAATGGACAAAACTCACTTAACAAATTCTCACTTAACATAAATTTTGGGCCCAATTGTGATCATAAGCCGACCACAGATAGTCCTTGATTTATTATCACAATTGAGTCCAAAATTTATGTTACTAAGCAAGACAGTTATTAAGTGAGTTTTGCCCTATATTACAACCTTTCTTGCCATAGTTAAGTGAATTGCTGCAGTTGTTAAGTTAATAACATGGTTATTAAGTGAATCTGGCTTCTCCATTGACTTTGCTTGTCAGAAGGTAACGAAAAGTGATCACATTGATCCCAGGACACTGAATCATCATAAATACATACATAAATACATAAATATTTAATTTTGATCACAGGACCATGGGGATGCTGCAATGGTCATAAGTGTGAAAAATTGTCAAGTCACTTTTTTCTTTGTAATTTTGAACAGTCACTAAAGGAAAGGTGGTAAGATGAGGAATATCTATTATAGTGTATGTAATGTTTTGCCTGTAATATTTTATCTTCTGTTTGGGAGATAGATGGTTTTAGCATTTGATAATTAAAAATAAAGGATATACTTATTAAATTAATACCTTATTTTTTTTAAAAAAATGTTTTGTTTTGTTTTGTGCTGTAAGGGGGGGGGGGCTGAAAAATTAAAATGTGGTTCTAGGATTGGCTAATTCTGTGAAATGAAGTCCAAATATATGAAAGTCATTCAGATTGGGAGATTATGGAACATAATATCACAATCTAGAAACATTTGTCAAGTATACAACCATAGTTTGAAGAGATTTCAATCTCGTATAGGCGAAATATATTTTAATAATACAATCAAGCATTGCATTAATATGATAGTTGTTTTGACTTTCTACTATTTTTCAAATATTCATTACTTGTAAAACAGTTACTTTCAAATAATAAAATTCTTAACTCAAGTTTCTTAACTTTTTACATTTTTTACCACATCCATTTTATCTAACTCTTTCATCACCCTGTTATCCTTCAGTAATTCTGTCTTTCATCAGACACTCAGAAATATGTCTTCTAAATGATAAAACTAATATCAAAACGTCTGTTTTTTTCCAAGGAGGAACTGAACTATGTGTACTTTTTATAAGTTCCATACAAGCTCTTATTTGACTTTTGTTATTGTTTCCCTCTCTTTATCTCTTATTTTATTATAATTTGTCTTAATATTTTGTTTAGTTTATTAGCTTTATTTAAAAATCCTTGCTGTATAAGTAAGAAAAAATAGAATCACAGAACCAGTCCTGAAACTTTAAAAATCAGCAGAAGCAGCAAAATAATCATTTATTACCTTCTTACCTCAAAAAATTCAACTGCAGACTTAAGCTCTTGGAATTCTGTAAGCAGATTCAAACTGCTTCAAAACACCAAACTCCCTTCGCAATGTGGGAGACATATTCCTGTGGAGTGATGACTTCCAGGAAAATATTGCCTGTAGCAAGCACATTGCAAATTTTGAAGCTAATATTTGGTTCTACATCTCCAATGAGATTCTAGCTGATCAGTTAAATAATACCTCCTGAATACAGCTCCCTTCAGATTTTTTGGCTAAACATTGTCTGTTAACTGTTCAGACTACAATAGCCTTGTCTGAGCAATTAGCAATTATCTCTTTAAAACTTAATGATTTGAAGAAAGTGTTTGATGCCTACACAGGATGGTTACCAGAGATACAGACAGCAAATTACTCTGTGAGTTTTTGTGCTGATTATCCCATCAACTGATTAGCAGTTTGAAAATAGCAAATCTTGTGGTCCTTCAACCCCTGACAATAAAAAAGATTCTCTCCTCATATATCAACATAATCAGTTAGTTCTGTCTGTTGTAATAATATTAATTGAGGAAGATAGGCTTCCAGAGGCTCTGTTTGTTTTTCCTTGTGCCAGCTATTTTCACTGCCAGCCTCATGCCATTGATTTTGTTCATATTAACTGGCTTCCCAATATGAATAGAAATTGGAGGGTTTTTTTCAGCAATTTAATAATTTGTTAGTTAAAATAAAGGCCTTTCCCCACACATTTAGAATTATTTCCATTCGGATATTCTCCCATCAAAAGATGAAATCTATCTTAAATAACATTTCAACAGCTTACATACTCCAAAATGCTATGTCTAATTTGGACCGTTGCCAACTTTCATCTTTCTTATCCCTGACCTTGACGTTAGGGATTATAGCATAATGTTCTACCAACCCAAGTAAAATGCAAGTTGGTCCTTTTGAAAGTTCAGTGTAACAGCACTGTTGAAAATGAGTGGAGAGGTTATTCAAAAATTCTAAATTTAATAAATAATCGAAAGATTTGCACAAACAATGACACTAATACAAAAGCCTGCAAAGCACATTGCTCTAGTGTATATTTATGAGCATACCAGTAATATAAAATGGCAATCAAGGACAATGGGGTATTAATCAGATCCCAAAGGCACTATCCTTTTATCAATTAAATATAATTCTGACTTTTTGTGGAGCCGAATCTTCACAAGGTGGTTCAAATGGACATCTTGTTTAATAAACACAAGTTGCCTTCCTTTCTCCGAATGCCCTAGAACAGGGGTGTCAAACTGGCAGCCCACAGGCTGGATGCATCACGCACAGGCCCACACCCACCCCAGCTCCACAAATCGGAAAAACATCGTGAAACATCACATGATAGCAGTGTGACATGGCGAGTTTGACACCCGTGCCCTAGAAAGACAAGGTGAATTACATAGGGCATCAGCTAATGGCAATAACAACCTCCCCCATGAGCATGCTAACATCATTGGAGACTTTCTATAGCCAGAGGAGCAGATAAGATGTAGTACCAGTGTATCAGACAGGAAACATGACGTAGACCCTGACATATGATGGTCGTTTAATGACCATTTGAAGTACTGCTTGTAAAGCACTTCCAGCTGTTGTAAAACACTGTACCAGCCCCCCTAGAATTACACAGCCAATGTTTTAGGTGCTTGGCAACCTGTTCACACATGCCTGGTTGCCAAGGCCCCACAATCATGTGAATGCATTTTACAATTTTTGCTACCAGCTTCCACAAAAAGTCAAGGGGGGGGGCAGGGGGGAACTGGCAGGGAAGCTTGCAAGCTGATACTGCCTGCCAAGGATTCCCTCTTGTCTCTTGGGGGCTGGATAAAAGAGCTTCTTGCCAAGTGGGCTGCTGGGTTGTATCCACATGAGGAGGGACTGACACCAGCTAAACAATGTCCTCATCAGGGAACTACCAAGGGAAAAACTATACTCCCACCAACACTGTCAGGGCAAGCTACTCTTTATAAATACTGTTGTATAAATATAAATCACACC